CAAAGCTTCATGTCTTTTACAAGCCAAAGAAACTTTAAACCCACCTATAACCTGTAAGGCCCCCCCCACTTCGAGATGTCCTACCTTTTTGGGCCAAACCAATGTATGCTTCCTATGTAATGATTGATGACTTTACCTGTAGTCCCTGCCTCCCTAAAATGTATAAAACCAAACTGTAACCTAACCACATCGAGTTCACTTGCTCAAGACCTGTTGGGAGTGGCTCTGTCTGGGTCATGGTTCCCAAATTTGGCTCAGAATAAATCTCTTTAAAATTATTTTACAGAGTTTGGCTTTTTTTCCGTTGACAGCTGCCCAACAACATGCAAGTACTTAATACCACTGAAATGTACACTTAAAAATGATTAAGATAGGAAGGTTTATGTTATGTGTATTTTACCACAATAAAAAATTGAGAAAATACAAGTTTATTAAAAACAAAAAAGGAAAGAAAAGAAAAAGCAAGGTAGTGATATGACGTTGTATACCAGGTACTACCATTGGTCTATAATCTTGGCTTTGATCATTAGCACAGTTGGCCTGTCATTAGCACAAATACTCTGGTAATGGAGAAGACATCACTTTATATTTTATGTCCAACTTGATCTTTTTCAGAGGAGTTTCCCATATATTGCCTGCTTTCTTTCTTATTTTCTCATCCCATTATTTATTCATTCAGTGGACATTTAAAGAGCACCTCTTTGTGCCAAGCACTGCTCTAAGCAGATACTCAGTGTTCAAATACTAAATAGTTCCATACCAGTTGGTAAATAGCTGCTGCCCACAGTATCCCATCCCACTCCACACTGGCAACCCTGATCTCTTCCTTGGGACCCCACCCCCACCCTAGACTTGCCCATGGTTAGCAAAGCAGGAAGCCTCCAGGATTCTGCCCCCCCTCCCCCCCCCACCCCCGCCACCTTCCAATTTAATTGGTGAATACCTAGGTCTAACCCCTTGTTAAATATTTTATCACCCTCTAGATATAACAATGAACAAAACAGACAAGGTCCCTACCCTCAGGTCTGGAAAAGAGATAATGAGTAAGTAAAAATATAAACAAACAAGGTAATAGTAGCATGCTGTAAAGAAAATAAAACAGTAAAGGGCTAGAGAGTGACTAGGGGTGAGGGTTACAGGGTGGAATTTGAGAGAAAAATCTCTGAGATGAACACATTAGAAGGAACCAGGCATGCAAAGTTCTGAAGAACATTCCAGATAAAAAGCAGAAATATCAAGGCCCTTTGGTGGCAGCAAGCATAGGATGTTCATGGTTAGAAGGCCAGCGTGATAAGAACATCTCAAGCAAGGAGATCACAGAGTAGACAGAGTCAGATCAGAAAGGATCTTCATGGCATTAGTAAGGAGAATAAATTTTATGCCAAGAAGAGTGAGCAATCATTAGACAGATCTATGGGTAATGACGGAATCTAATTTATATTTTTAAAAGATTACTCTGATAATTGTGTGGCAACTAAATTAGAGGGAAGCAAGAATGTAAAAAAGAAGATAACATATAAAGCTGTAGTGGTTATCCAGGTAAAACGATGACAGTGGCTTGGGCTACGTGATAGCAGTAGAGATGGAAAGATATATTCTGATTCAGTACATGATTCAGAGGTAAAGCTGACCAAACTTATAAAAAAGTATAATGTGGGATGAGGAAACAAAAGAAATCAAAATGACTATGTCTTCTGATGTAGCAAGTCACTGATGGTGGCCCATTTACTACAAAGAGAATGACTAGGGGAATAAATAGATTTGGAGAAAGAAAGAATAAAAATTCCTGTTTTTCCACAATAAATTTGAGATATCATTTATATATATAACGTGGAGCTATCAAACAGGCAGTTGGATATTTGATCTTCATAATAATCCTGTGAGGTAGATAAGGAAACCCTGGGATCATCCAAATTTTACAAATGAGAAAAATAAGGCTCAGAGAGAAAGGCTTGTTTTAATACATAATATTTTTATTAGTCAATGTCCTTTGAGAGAGGGCTGATTATACATTTTTAAAAGAGGAACAGTTTCACTGTTAAGAACTTCTCTCTGATAAAACACACCTACCTAGTTTGCTCCATATAGGCTATACTGCTGATCCAAAGGTCCTTTACATCCAGAGAAGATTGCCCTATTTTGAGACTTATACAACTAGAAACATTTAACATATGTGACATCTAACTGAGATGTATGAAGGATGCACATAATTGACTATCTTCTTAACTGTATCAACAATTAAAGTACACATGATATGAAGCATAAAATTCTCTTTAAAAATAGACCATAATTCTTAGTTTCTTCTTTATTCAGAGTTTGTGTCAAAAAGCTTTCTGGGGAATGCATTTCTAAAATTAGAAAAGAAAATCAATCTGGAAATGACCAATACGAGAATAATCACTTTACACTGCTTCTCAGGACTTTAACTGGTGTGGAAGACAAGCTCATGCTGTGCTCAGCACTTCTTCCACCACGCTGGGACTGCTTGTTTTCCCTTTGGTTGCTTTAAAGTAATGGAAACTTCTGCATTAGAAGACACATTTTATCACAGAGTATTTTATCACAAGCTCAATACATTTGTAACTAAAATTCCTTTCAAAATTCTAGAGGTAGCCTGCTGAAAGACCCACACCAAACAAAACAGGAAGAATAAGAGTTAAAAAGGAAAGAAGAAAGAGAAAGGTTGAGAGAGGGAAAGAGGGAAAAAGAAATGAGAAGAACAGCAGATGACCTCTTCTTGATGGCAATCCTTTATGACAAAGGATCCACAAATAACATGTTCACAAAGCACTACAAACCCCTGCAGGAAAGACATGCTTGTTTATAAAGCATGAATCGAGAGATGATACACGCTGTCTATATTTTAATCACAATGTCAATTATGAGTTACAAATAAATAGCAATTATCAATGTAAAGTAAAAAGCACACCCGCTTACTTCAGCTTATCAGCACTTCACGGAACCTTCATGCCTTTTCATGTGTGCTCTTAAAATAAAAGCAATAGCCTGGCTGGCACTACAAATAATCCTAGTATCCTAAGAATTGGAAGGAAATGTGGGAGTCATTACATCCAACCCTCTCATTTTACAGATAAGGAAACTAAGTAAAGCTAAGAGAGATAAAGTCCATCATCACAGAGACCCTTCAGGATGAAAAACTTAACTTTTCTGATTCTTAGCAACTGTTCTTTGTACTATACCATGCTATCAACTACAGGGCAAAAAAGCAACAGTCCCACAAGGAATGGCCCAAGGTTTTGCTGCAGCCAGGTCAAGGGAGGATAAGTGGGCAGAGATGGGTTCCTCAGTGCTAGAAGCAAGGCCCCGGCCCCAGCCTCAGCCTGGCTGACAGCCTGTCACTCTTCTCAGCCTCACCCTGCAGCAGTTGACAGCCTTTCCAACAATACCGCTGGGCTTTCTTCACCCGGAGCTTTAGGTTTGATGTGGCAGAATTTGATGTCTAGTAGCTGGTGCCCCTTCCCTCAAGGTCGTTAGAATAAGGCCCTTGAAACGCCATACAGCAGTGTTGCTTCGAAGGCACCAGAGGATCACAGGCCCTCCCCAATGAGGGGAAATGACACCTCTCTTCTCCAACCTTTATACCAGCATACTACTAACTGGATAACACACACATCCCTGAAAAGATATTATAGGCTGCAAGTATGTTTTAGCCCTGATGGTTTCTACCTTCTATGTTTTTGCTCAATCCCAGCATATATAGGAAATTCCAGAAACATCCACTTCAAAACTCTCTAGCATGGGTCATGTGGAATTCATATTGACATTTTAGTGCAGGCAGAGAACAAAATTTCTAATCAAAATTATTTTCTAAAAAGTCTTATCTAGTTATTAGGGAGGCTATAATATACGCAAGATTTATACTGTTTGCCTATTATTGCAAACATTTGCAAAGATGAATGAATGGATGATAAAAATAATAACAATCCTCCACTATAAAATCTAGGATTTCCTCTTCTCCCAAAAAAGGAACCACTCAACTGTCTTTAAAAATCTTCCATAGGCCGGGCGCTGTGGCTCACGCCTGTAATCCTAGCTCTTGGGAGGCCGAGGTGGGCGGATTGCTCAAGTTCAGGAGTTCAAAACCAGCCTGAGCAAGAGCGAGACCCCGTCTCTACTATAAATAGAAAGAAATTAATTGGCCAACTGATATATATATAAAAAATTAGCCGGGCATGGTGGCGCATGCCTGTAGTCCCAGCTACTCAGGAGGCTGAGGCAGAAGGATCACTCGAGCCCAGGAGTTTGAGGTTGCTGTGAGCTAGGCTGACGCCACGGCACTCACTCTAGCCTGGACAACAAAGCGAGACTCTGTCTCAAAAAAAAAAAAAAAAAATCTTCCATAATGGCCAGGCACTGTGGCTCACGCCTATAATCCTAGCACTCTGGGAAGCTAAGGTAGGCAGATTGCTCAAGGCCAGGAGTTCGAAACCAGCCTGAACAACAGCAAGACCCCGTCTCTACTAAAAATAGAAAGAAATTAATCGGCCTGTAGTCCCAGCTACTCGGGAGGCTGCAGCAGAAGGACTGCTTGAGCCCAGGAGTTTGAGGTTGCTGTGAGCTAGGCTGATGCCACAGCACTCTAGCCTGGGCAACAGAGTGAGACTCTGTCTCAAAAAAAAAACTTCCATAATATTATACTTTATTCATATTCATACACACACAGACACACACATATATGTATTTTTTTCCTGGAAATGGCTCTGTTAGACACTCTTTTTATTAAAACACCTATAACAACTGTGGAATCCAAGGTACACATTGCAATTCCAAGATTCTCTCACTGACTACTAGAAAATAAAATCTAGACTATAAACACCCCATCAACACTAGTCCACATTTTCCACCCCAGATCAATTTCCAGACTGCTAATAATCTCCACCATCTCCCAATCCCACTGAAAAAGTGACCTGGATTTTATTTGACAGCATTGGCATTTCACTGGCCTGATTATAGAAAATAATTATGAAGAAAATACTTACAGCATAGGCACCTATCAAAAATGCTGCATTTGCTCTTTTCCGTTGGTCAAAACAGGTGTAGTGCACTATTTTCTTTCTTGATAAACTGTATGACTAGAAAGATGAGATAAAGAAGGGTTAGAATAACCATAGAAACAACGTTAAAATACACACAAGACAAATATCATCTCTTAAATTTCAAGATGTGTCACAATGTGTAAACTTTAATCACTTTCAACTTTAATTTCTATGGCATCTGGACATGAGCATTGGGGGGTGGAGGATTACTAGCTCAGACTTCTTAGAGCCCAATTATGATATAAGAATCAATATAACAAATATTTTTCTTTCCAAGAAAAGAAATTCATATAGTGAATAACAATTACATTATTGGCATCTCTATTAGCAGGAATCATTTTTTATGATTTAATCTTGATCTTATATATAAAATCTATTTACCCCTTTTTACTCCCTATGTGCCACTCCTACTCCCAGGAAAGTTACCTATATTTTCTATATTGTACAGTTTGTTTTTAAAGGTGTCAACCAGTCTATCGTCTTCTAAATTTTTTTCATTTTTAGAGACCAATATTAATATTTCCTTTCTAAGATGTTCTATAATAATCCCCTTTTAATTATCTGAAAATCTGAAAATAAATGGTTAACAGAAAAGATGAACCATCAGAAGAACTATATTAACAAACAGTTTAATAGAATACAATATCCATATATTAAATTCATGGATTCAAACAAAAAGTTATTAAGCACCTGCTGTATGCCAAGCAATATGCTGCATGCTCAGGTATTTAACTAAATCCAAAATAATCAACATGGTATGCTGTATACATGCTAAACAAGAAAAGTAGTAACAGAAAAGATCTGTTAAAATGAAACCAAATTATAAATCAAAACTCAAATAAATATAAGACAATGAAAACATAGACACAACTCAAAGACATTTGTTCAATTTCCTCCTATTTCAAAAGTTGTGGTATGTTGACAAATGGTTTTCAAAATATAGGCACATAAGTACATTTTATTATTTGTCCATAAATTCATAGTGACTATATAAACATCTTTTTATACCTTATACATTGAACAGAGAATCCCTGCTTTTAGAACCCCTTTAAAAATATAAACAGAGCTCAACTACATACTCTTCTTTACCCTGCTATTATCTACAAAGAAAAAAAAAACTCTTCCCACACTGAAGAATATTCTAAGATGAAACTGCTACATTCTGGCTTTAGCACATAACCACAGAAAACGTAGCTACTAGCACATAACCACAGAAAACATAGCTACTAGCTAAGCATACCCCAGCAATGAGCCAGTAGGCCTTCATCACTCCAAATCAGGCCTTTCAGGTTATTCTTGATAACCAAGAATCACATTTTCTGAAAATGGTAGTGCCCTTTTTAATTGAACTTTTAAAAATCAGTGTTTGACTCAAAGAAAATCTCTTATTATCAATGCCCTTATTTTCTGACAGGCTTGTGAAAATATTCCTATGAAATAGACAGAAAAAAAGTACAATATTTTCTTTAATTCAGCTCAGTCAAGTTAACGCACTAAAGTTATTTAAAGACCTCAAGATTACTAACCACTGGTGCCGACACTTGATTCCTTGCTTTCTCAATTTGGAACTACTGACTTTTTGGACATTTCCTCTTTCTATTTTATTATTTGTTTGTTGGGTGATTGGTTGGTTTTGCCACTTATTGTTCCCCACCCATAAGTTTGATTTATCACAAGGGGAGTAAAGTCTCTTCAGACCTAAGCATCTCTTATTGTCTCTGAATCTCAAATACCTAAAGATTGCCTGACATAGGCCAGCCTCTCCATACACACGAATAAGGCTGAGCATAAGGACTCACCAGCTCTTCTGGCTCCCAGCCTCTCACTATTTACATTTCCTGCTTCCCTAAAAAAATACTTGTGGGAAAGAAAATCTATCTTGAAGTCTGGATTATTTGGGGGGGTTTTTTGTTTGTGTTTGTTTTGAGACAGAGTCTCATTCTGTCGCCCAGTCTAGAATGCAGTGGCACAATCATAGCTCACTGCAACCTCAAACTCTTGGGCTCAAGGGACTCTCCTGCCTCAGCCTCCAGAGTAACTGTGACTACAGATGCATGTCACCACGACCAGCTATTTGTTCCTATTTTTGGTAGAAATGGGGTCTCACTCTTGCTCAGGCTGGTTTTGAACTCCTAGCCCCAAGCCATCCTCCTGCCTCAGCCTCCCACAGTGCTAGGATTACAGGTGTAAGCCACCGTGCCTGGCCTAGATTATCTGTTTTGATGCTCTTTTCTCCTAAGAATTTAGGTTTCATAACGAACTACTGTTAATCATTTAACAACATGGAACTGTGTTTATTTTATAAATCTACTTGCCAAAGTGACAACTCATATACCTTTTCTTTCATCACCGATGCTCATTTCTTGTTTGTTTGGGGGTTTTGAGGGAAAGTTTTTATGTTTGTTTGCTTTTTGTTTTCTCTTAGTCTAAAGTATATGGAATACAGAGTCCATTCTGGACTAGGAAGCATGAAGGTAAAGGACAGAATTCTGATAGAGATCATTTCACTGCATACCTATAAATACTCCTTAAGGAAAAAAAAGAGCTGCCTTGTTCTCCCATAAACTTAACCATACCCAATCGTGGGGGAAAAAATGCTTTTTAAGTATATATAATACAAACTAAAATTTTAAAGATTTTAGAAGAATTTTTTTAAACTTTACAAGCTTTCAGAAATTATATCAGTTAAAGAATGGCTTTCAAAAAGTCTACCTAGAAATAATTTTAACTACTTAAAAAGATTTCCTATGAGAAGCTGCCTACAGAAAGTAAATACAACTCTTTTTTTTACTTTTTTTTTGAGAGCTTCCTAACTGGTTTTTAGGGAAAAGTTTAAAGCTCCTAATATTTACCTTGCTTAGATTTTTCTGGAATTCAATTTTCTCAGTTACATCTCAAAAGCACTACAGACAAGAAATAATCTGCTCAGCAAAGCTCAGACAGTATCTCTTGGATCAGATCACTAAGAGTACAATTGGCTCAAGGAATCAAAATTAATTCAAAGTGAATGAAAACAGAGGAAAATTTTACATACTGTAGGCCTGTCCTAATTTCCCTCCTTACCACACCCAGGCCTCCCTCTTATGGTCACCCTGCCCCATAGTTCAATACTAGTAACACTGTTCAATAGAGGAGATATTTGGGTAACAGAATGAAAAATTTCAGGGATAACAAAACATTTTGTCAATCGTTTAGCTGATGTTTATATGATTGGGCTGATATACAAAACTCTTTTAATGTTTTTTTCCTCTCAAATATTAAATATGCCCCTCCCTTTAAAAAAAAAAAACCTATTCATAATCAAAGGACCTACAATAAACAGTATCAGTGGAGACACTGATAACTGAATTAGCTTTAGAAGAACATTAACTCATTTTCCCAGATCTTTCATGAAAGAACTTTACAATACAGGGAAAGTAAGTCACATTTGGAGACAATAGGATTCTATTTTATAAATGAACCCAGTAGATGTTTTCTCAGATTCTGCCCTAATGCCAGGAGAACATCATGCCTCCAAACTGGACAGCAGCCCCTTCCTTACTCTAGTCTGTCTCTTCTGAAGCCTGGTATACTGACCCAAACTTTCAAGAAGAACACTTGCAAAGTAATGCCATAATCGCTGGCTTTCAGTGAGCGATATGCTCTATTACAGACTCTTTTTGCTTTATATGAGAAGCTTACAGGTTACAAAACAAAAATACTATGTGCAATAGCAAAGTGACGTTAAAAATTGGTCAAATAAGCAGGATAAACCCATAACTGTTCCACTGAGCTGGATAATTTGTGTAAATCTCAATTATGAGGCCATAACAAGTTTCGTGGCTCAGAATTTAAATAATTGTCAGGTTGAATTGGTCAATATTACTAAAATATCTTAGAAATAAAAAACTAAATCTAAATTGAAACTATATTTTATTATTATATTATTGCATTATATTTCATCCTCTTAAAAGACTGGTTCAGAATCGCCTAGAGGGCTTATTAAAACACAGATTTTTACCTCCTGAGAATCTGGGTCAGTAGAGCCTAAGAATTTGCATTTCTAATGGGTTCCCAGGGAATGCTGACACTTCTGGTACAGGAACCACACACTGAAATCCACTACTGCAAGATATTGCTAAACTTTGGAGAAGAACTGCATAAACATGTGACTGGTCCCACTCCTGGAAATGTCTTACATGGGTCCTAAAACACTGTCCCATCTGGTCAAGTAACCCCAAAAGAACTTTAAATTTTTATAAAGGAATTTCAAATCATGCCATAAGCCTTTTAAAAGCATGTTACAATATATACATTTCCCCAGATTCCTCAAAAAACTTGATTACAATTTGTAAATCATGCATTCCAGGTGTTAACTTAGGAACAAGTTCTTTTAATGATTCCATAATTAAGCTGTCTTAAATGGCATTATTCTAAAGGTTCCAAATTCAGATGTTCTCAGTGGCCAAGAATTTGAAGTGGGGCAGTTGGCAAACTAGAAAAGCATTCCCTGTCCAAAGTACACTAAGCTCCAACTTGCTGCTCACATGCAGGAATCTGGGCCCAGAATTGTCAGATATTGTAATATTTAAAAGAAGCCAAAAATCTAGAATTTTGTGGAAGTTTTCATAAATTGAAGATGTTGACTATGAATCTTAATTTTTTTAAACAGTGTTTCATGTCCAACGAAACATGTCTGTGGGCCAAATGCAGCCCACAGGTGACCAGTTTGCTGGATCTGGGTGCCAGGATACTGCGGCTGAAGAAAGTTCTATTGGTTCTAGCAGCATGAATCGAGCAGCTGTTGTGTGTCAAACACTGCTGAGCAATGAGGTGACAGGGGAGGGTGCCCTGGTCTGTAGCCTCATAGGTTCACAATCTAATGACTATTTGATGCAAATATTGGCCAAGGTTTATTACAAATCTTGGTTTATTACAAACCAAGGTTTATTATAAACAGAAAAGAATAACTGCATAGGGATGCATTCACAGCACACAAGGACCAATGAAATGATATTAATTACAGGTATAATAATTGTTACATTTAAAGATGCCAAAACAGGCCAGGCGTGGTGGCTCACACCTATAATCCTAGCACTCTGGGAGGATCACTTGAACTCAGGAGTTTGAGACCAGCCTAAGCAAGACTGAGGCCTCGCCTCCACTAAAAATACAAAAATTAGCCCGGTGTGGTGGTACATGCCTGTAGTGCCAGCTACTCGGGAGGCTGAGGCAGAAGAATTGCTTGAGCCCAGGAGTTTGAGGTTGCTGTGAGCTAGGCTGACGCCACGGCACTCTAGACCAGGCAACAGAGTGAGACTCTGCCTCAAAAAGAAAACAAAAAACAAGGCCAAAACAACAGTAGATAACAGATGGGATTTAGTATTAAATACCTATTAATATAATCAAACTAATAGAAACATCTAGACTTGTATTGCTTACCTGAGAGTCAAAGTTTTCCCCCTCTTATGTAAATCATGGTAAGTGTATAATATATCAAATAAATATTTAATTGTACTTGTAAAACAAAGAACAATGACTGCTATAATAGAATAATACGAATTAAGATAAAGGTATTGAGCCCAGACAGACATTTTCTATCTCAGAAAGAAAAGCTATGTAAAAGGTTGCATTCTAGTGGGATTACTCCTTATGAAAAACAAGCTGTAAGAAGTCAGGGAGAGAAGAAAATGATGACAAGCTACACAAATAACAAACAGGCCAGGCTATCCTTGGTTTATGGTAACAAACACAAATCATGCACTTGTTCAGCTTAAGTCAGGAGACCACAAACTGTGTTACCCATTCAACAATAAAAGGGGATGCAATTAAGCTTAAAGCCAAAAAAATAAAAAAGTGGTAATGGTCAATTCAAAATAACAAGAAACACAGAGTTTAAGCAGCCTTTTGGAAAAGTCATTTGCCATGCTTAAGAGTAAATCTTCAAGTTATTTGGTTAGATTGCTATGTTTAATGAAATTGTATGAATCAGTCTGAGCTAAAGAAGATATTAGTGCAGCCCGTATAATATGCTCTTCAATAAAAAAGAGAGCCCATGCAATTCCCTAAACAAGCAAGCTCCCGCCAATGATGGCAGTCTGATTAAATAGATCACAGCACAGGGACCATGATGACCAAGGCTCCATTCTCTCACAGGTGACTAGGCTAGCCCAGGAATGGCCACAGCAATCAGCATCTCCATAGCAATCAGTGGTCATCTCACTACAAAAGCAATAAAATGAACAGGTCTTGCTGTGAGCAGCCACGACCTTTACATGTTTTACCTCCAACTTTCTCAGGAAAGGGATATTCTTGAAAATTTTCTTTGGCTGTACAAAACAAAATATGGTTTATGTTTTTACTTAGTGCTATGATAAACTAAGGTGAGTAATTTCTTTAAAAAAGAAAAAGATGTCTCTGTATGGTCCATTTTGTCTCAGACCCAATACATTTCATTAATGAAATAGCACATTTCATTAAAGTAGAAGTCAAAATGTCAGGAAAAGTTGCTCATAAAGATTATTTGATCATGTTCATAACTACTGAAGGCATGTGGGCATTTTCTATAAATGGGGCTCTTCTTGCCTGAGGATCCCCGAATGGGCATAAAAGGCCCATGCCTTGCCAGCTTTGTATATGCTCACGCCCATGAGCATTAACACTGCTTTGTACCTCTTTAAACTACATGAACTAGCTCCGGAATGTAGCTTGCTTTTTTCCTCCCCCAAAGCCCATGAACCTGAAACAGAAGAGATCCACGTGAAGAAATCTCAACATGTTGAAATCTCAACATGCTTTTATAGTTATAATAAGAGGGTGGTCTAATCAAATCAAAAGAGTACTTGTGTACAACCACCTGATATGGTGGCAGGTGCCTGGTTTCCAGGATAGGATTACTGCACTGATTCATTCAGCAACAAGGACATTCCCTGGGCCCCACCATCTGCCAGGTACTTCCAGTGCTTCAGTACAATCGTTCATTTCATGATGTCCATCCCCTGCCCCTTTTACAATGAAAGGACTATGTGGGATGTTTTGTATATTTAAAATTACATTTCTGTGAATATTCTTTTAATCCTTTTTAAAACAGTCCTCGAGATTATTGTAATTATCCCACTGATTCATAACACCGGGTATTAAAATAAAAAAAAATATCGCTGCCCTAGAAACTGTCCCCTTTTTTGAGAGATGTTTTTTCCTCCCAAGTTGGGGTTTTATTTTTCCCTGAGGAAAAGTGAAATCAATAATTAAAACTGTATTGACTATTTTAGGAAAAGCCAATTACCTCAGTCATATTACCTTTATAAAACTTTTAGATTATCAAATTAGTAATTAAAAGATATTTTTAACTAATAAAATTTGGAGATTAAATTTGGGTTTTTTGTTAAATAGCACAATTTGTTATTTATTAATACAGTCTTCTCTTTCAGAAGCCCTTATAGTCTAAAGCCCAGCGTTCTTAGCATTGTCTGTGCCAAGGATCCCTCTGAAAACCTGTCAAAAAGCTATAAATCCAACAGAAGAAAAATGTAAATATACACAAAATTTTATAATTTTAAGGGCTTATGGATTCCTTGGAATACCAGATTAATAAGTCAACTCATCAATCATTGATGACATTTTACATTAAATAACATACCCAGTTTTACAAATTGTTCTCACTTCAGTAAATCTTCCCTCTTTTGATTGCTTCCTCCATCACAATAACTATTGACCAGAAATAGCAAACTGCAACCTATTACTGCAAAACTCGTAGTATTTATTAACACAATTTTGAAAGTACAGTTTAAAATAGGTAGCAGGGTTTTTGTTAGTGGTGGTGAGTTTTGTCTCTGAATTTTTAATCTAAGCAGATGTTTGATGGATAATTTTCCATTCTAATCAACATAATTAAAACTGAGGCCATTGGGAATAGAATGCAAATGGATACAAAAAAATAGCAATAAACCACCACTTCAAAGCATTAACTGGAAAAAATATATTTTGAGGTAAAAAAAGGGAAATTTGGGTCTGGACTAGAATGCACAGCAAAATATTACCTGTCTACAGAAGGTATCACATAAGGGTGGGAATCACAAAAGCTTTATTGGAAAGAATAAAAACTTCCAAACTGGAAAATAAAATGTGCCTAAAGGAATTAGGAAGTCACACAAGAGAAGAATCCTAGGACATAGTTATTAAAATAGTGCTAAATTATTCAGAGAAGTAAAGGAGTTTGAGGACCTAGCCAATGTCATCAGACTCAGCATTTAAGATGTTACTAGAACAGTTTCAGTAGAGTGGGGAAGGCAAAAGTTGGATAGCAAAGGATTAAGAAATCAGCGAGGAAGACCAGAGCAGATTTAAATTCCAGCTTTTTAAAGGATTGTGAAAATATCAAAATGTACATGAATCAAGTTTTAATATATTATATGATAGGTGGATGAGGCTGTTCATTGTACCATTTCTTTGTTTGAATTCTCAGGCATGGTTTGGCAGTGGAAGAACTCCATAACGTTAACAAATTCGATAAAAAGTAAATACATGAAAAAGAAAAAGAAATCAGCAAGTAGCAAGGATGTAAACACACTGCAGGCAGGCTATCCTTCTGAAACCCTGGGAAGCAAAATGATAAAAGGAGATCTTCAAGTGACAAAGTCAAGAGAAGTTTCTGTTTGGTGACCCTGTGCTGGGTACTGGGACACAAAGTTATATAACATGCTCCCATCCTCCAGAAACTCATAATCTAGAGAGAAGCAGGTACACATAAGTAATTATAATTCATCAACAATAGAGACCTGCACAGAGAATTATGGGAAAACAAGGGAGGCACCTCCAGCCCAGTCCAGAAGGGCAAGAAGATGCTTCCTAGAGGATAGTAGCTGAGGCAAAGTATTAAAGAACAAGGAGTTGTCGAGCCAGAGGGGAAGGGCATTCCAGTCAGACTGGGCGTCACAAACAAATGCATGAACAGTTAACATGCAGTGGGGTAAAGTGCAAGGCTGGGAGTGGCAGGGATACTGCAGTTTCCCAGTAAATTAGTGCATGATATCATCCACCACGACACCACCAAGGGTGGTAGCCGGCAAGGTACGCAAGGGAAAACGCAGAAAAGCAAGATGTCCAAACCTTTACTGAAATAAGCCACCATGGGCTATAGACAAAAGACATCAGCAAGGCTCCAATAGACTGAGAGAACAGGGAGTCTGAAGGTCTAGAGATCCCAGTAGGATGAGAGAGACAGAATGTGCAAGGCAAGGAACTAGAAGGGCATATTCTAAGTGGGAGAGTCTGGATTCTGGGTGCCTGGAAGTGCCACCAGGGTGGCAGTAACAGTCTCTGGAGCGGAAGAGGCAGAGGAGCCTTGAAGCCACCATGGGACAAGGTGAAGCAGTTGGGACAACACTCCAAGTGAACACAGGAAGATTGTAAACCAGAAGCTGCAGTTACTACCGAAGGTGGAGAGAAGAACAGGAAGGATGCAGTCATAAACCCTGGAATCCAGCCCTGACTTTACAGCCTTGGGCAAGTCACATACCTCTCCCTGGTCTCCCTTTCTAAGTCTTGACTAAATGGTCATTTAGAGTCCTAAAATTATATTGGGCAGCTTTCCCATATGGAAATGACAGCATTAAGTCTGGAAAGAAGGTGTTCATAAATTTTATAGAAGAACCGTCTTTATTATATTTCCAATCAGAATTCACAAATGTTATATTAGTAACTTTATTTTGTATAGGACCTTAAAATTTACAAAGCTTTTTACATCTATTTTCTAATATAATACTAACCAACACCCCGTGAGAATTCTGTAATTCCTATGCTATAGATGAAGAAATGGAGATTCCACAAGCCTGAAGCAATTGCAACTTTGGATTGGTAAAGTAAATCTTTTTCTCCTAAAATAGAGATTCTATTTGGCACACTTCTTTGAGATAACCCATGACTTACTAACATTTGAGTTTTGAAAATTCAATCCTTCAGCAAGTAGGAAAGTGTCCACTATTATACTAAAGCTAAAAATGTCATTCCAGGCATCCAACAGATTACCTGATCACAGAAACAAACCAAGGGGACTAGATTAAACTTTCATAATGCTGAAAGAAAGCTTTGTAAATGAAAGAAAATCAAAACAAGTTTTTATATGTACTTACCCATACTGTACAGTATAGAATATGGTAGAAAAAAACTAGTCTTAATTCAATCCATCTACTCTTGTGCAATTTCTATTAAGTAGAACACTGAGTCAGACCAGTGATTTTATTTTCCTAATAATGCACTTTCTCTTTGGTCACTCCACATAGTACTCAGTTCCCAGATCATTAATACCCAGTTCATACCAACTCATACCAACATGACTAATTAGGAAAGCAAAGAAATTCCTTAGTCCTCAAAAAGAAGAGATAAACTTCAATTATTTGTTAATTATCCTTTCCTTGCTAACTCAGCAATTAAAAGTTCTTTTATATAAAAAGGATATTATTATTTACTTCCTTGATGATTGCAAAAATCTCTATTTTATTTTCTAAATTACTGTCAGTTGCTTCTTTTCCGAAAAACAGATCTGGTTTAGTTAAAGGAATTTACATATATCTTTTCAAGCCACACAACTTTGTAAGTTAACTCCTAGAAAAGTTGAATGCAATAGATTTTATGTTATATGATTACTGACTAAAAAGATCTCTCTTTGTTATCATTCCATGACCATTTAGCACTTTGGGATCAATTGGCAAAAATTTATAAATTCATAAATACATAATATATTCTATAGGAAACTCTCCATCAGACTGCCTTGTATACCTAAGTTCAATAAATACCAAACAGATCAAAAGATAATCATTGAACAGTTAATATGTACAAGGCAATGTACTATGTAACACTAGCAACATTTTACCTAACAGAAACAATAAAATACCTGAGCATTATAATTTAGTAGTTATCCTTAAAAACCTGCTCTGTAATATTTTGCCTTTCAAACTGAAATATTTAAGATCTCCATTTAGAAACTGGAAGAAATAGATAAATATTGCTTTCTGTGTGATGAAATAAGTTTACCAAAACTAGGACTATAGATGGCACTCTTCCTCATATGGTTAAAGAGGAAAAAAAGAAAGCTACATGCCAAAACCCACGTATAAATACAGAAAATGAAACCAGATCCCCACATAAAATCAAAACTATAAATGAATACTAAATATATGAATTCTGCCATATCAGGTAAAGTCAATGCCCCATCACTGCTGGCTCATCAATTTCACTCGGCTGTTAACTACATGGAGATAACATTCAAGAAATATGCAAAAATTTCAATCTTGATCAGACAGAAAAGGGTCACGTCCCAGAGCTTCAGCCCTGATGAGCCCCTTCATCACTGGTAACAGTGTCTACAAGTGGATCTGAAGGTTTCAGAAAAATTATCCTAGCAGGGAATTTGATAGAGACTCGTTAACAATAAGCTAAAAAGAACCTGTGCTTTTTCTTTCTTAGATCACTATGCCAATGACTTCATTCAGCTCACATTGCAATTCATACTGAAAAATGAAAGAGGTTACCATGTCCTTTGTGGTGTCATCGGGAGGATCAATTTCAACTTCTAAGTGAACTACTCAAATTTTCAAAGATCGAGACTACCTGACTAAAGTGTTTGTATCCCTGTGATATTCTGAAATGTTTAAATTTATAATTAAAAAAGAAAAAAGACTATCTGAGTAAACGGTGTGTGCACAACAATCCCACTGGGCAGATCATGTGGTTCAAACATTTTAATACCAAAATATAAACATCACTATAATACTCACTTTTAGTTTCTTGTTTAGTTTACAGCAATATCTGTACACCATTGCCAAATTCAGAGGTCCAAAATCTGCATAGAAACTAAGACATAAGAAAACAAACAAAAAATGTAATATTTAGCAGAATTATCAGTGATGTCAAAGCTCGTTTTTATTTTCGATAAATTTGCAATCAAATTCCAATTATCTTCAGAGAAATAAGGATCATTATATAACTAATCTGATTTATGGTAATCCAAATAACTAATGTTTTCACTCTACTAATGCCCTCCAGCTACTAGTGAGAAGAACACAGAGGTGCCAAAGAAGAAAACCTACAATGATTTGAAATAAAAGTTCTTGCGTAGAGTGGAATGATGTACAATGGAGACTCAGAAGTGGAGCAGGTGCTAGATAATGAGAAATTACTTAATGGGTACGACGTACTTTATTCGGGTGATGGATACTGTAAAAGCCCTGACTTGACCATTACTACACAAAATTGTACTTGTACTCCATAAATGTATACAAATTTAAAACATAAAAAATAAAACGCAAAGAAAAAAGAAATAAAAATTCTTGATTTATTTCTAAAGTTCCCAGTGTGGTGCTATGCTGTATATATAAACAAATACCCATGAATCCAAAATGAGCTATACTTATAACCCAGTTACTGACGAGTCTAAGACCAATCAACAAGAACTCACTCTAAAAAAACTAAAATGAAAAGAACACAGAATCTCTCCCTCTCCTGGGACCTCCTTATTTCCTGAGACATGACAATACTGAAATCAGACAAATAACCCTTTAAGTGTTCAAGTGAAAGGAAGAGTCACACATCTTGCACTTTAAATCAAAACCCAAAAATGATTAAGCTTAGTGATGATGGCAAGAAAGGCAAAAAGCTAGGCCTCTTGCACCAAACAGCCAAGCTGTGAATGCAAAGGAAAAGTTCTTGGGAAAAAAAAATTAAAAGTGCTACTCTGGTGAGCACATGAATGGATAAGAAAGCAAAATAGCCTTATTCCTGATAGGGAAAAAGTTTTAGTCATCAGGATAGAAGATCAAGCCAGCCACAACATTCACTTAAGCCAAAATCTAATCCAGAGCAAGGCCCTAACTCTCAATTCTATAAGAAAGCTGAGAGAGGTGAGGAAGCTGCAGAGGCAAAGTTTTAAGCTAGCACAGATTGATTGGTTCCTCAGGTTTAAGATTCACAGGAGAAGGTCAAAATATCAACATTAACATGAGTTTGGAAGAAGCTGATTCCAACTCTCATGGATGACTTTGAGGGGTTCAAGACTTCAGTGGAGGAAGTCACTGTAGATGTGGTGGAAATAGCAAAAGAACTAGAACTTGAAGTGGAGCCTAAAGATGTGACTGAATTGCTGCAATCTCACGATAAAACTTGAATGGATAAGGAGTTGCTCCTTATAGATGAGCTAAGAAAGTGGTTTCTGGAGATGGAATCTAATCCTGGTGAAGAAACTGTGAACTTTGCTGAAATGACAACAAAGGATTTAGAATATTAAAACTTAGCTGATAAAGCAGCAGCTGAGTTTGAGAGGATTGACTCTAATTCTGACAGTTCTACTGTAGGTAGAATGCTATATCAAATAGCATCGCATGCTACAGAGAAATCTTTCATGAAAGGAAGAGTCAAGTGATCTGGCAGACATCACTGGTGTCTTATTTTTAAAAATTTCCATAGGCACCGCAACCTTCAGCAACTACCACCCCTCAGTCAGCAACCCCTCACATTGAGGCAAGACCCTCCACCAGCAAAAAGATTACAGCTCATTTAAGGCTCAGATGATCATTAGCATTTCTTAGCAATAAAGTATTTTTAATTAAGGTATGTACATTGATTTTTTAGACATGATGCTATTGTAGACTTAATAGACTACAGTATAGTGTAAACATAACTTGTATATGTACTGGGCAACCAAAAAATTTACATAACTCGCTTTATTGCAATATTCACTCTGGGCTGCAGTGGTCTGGAACCAAACCTGCAACATCTCGAGGCATACCTGTATGCAAATATGCACCTACCAGAATTGATTAAGGCAATTCTGTTTCTAAAACAGAGATGTTCTTGTCCTTGGGTTAACAGAACCAAGACTTTTGACTAACATACCTTATTTTTTTCTACTTGAACATGAATATTGACGCCAGTAGAATTTGAAGTTAAATTTGGAATTTTTAGTTATGGTTATTTGAGCTTTTTAAACTCACTTTGAACAAATTTCAGGAAAGCACAAAGAATTCAAGTCATGTAATTCCAGCTTCATACTAACCATTACGAACCAACTTCAATCTCAAATTCAAAGCTACACAGTTTCTAATAATATGGCTGGAAGAGTCAATTGTACTTTTGGAAGCAATGTGGTTAACAGATGATCCTATTTCACCAAACACCAGGAAAATATTAATAATTCGTATATCCAATAACACAGGAAAAGTAAATCAAATACAGACCTCATCTTTAAGTTGATCTGTACTCTCCAACATGTTAGCCACTAGCCATTGCTGTTTAAATTTAAATTAATTGAGTTACATAAATTAAAAATTCTCCTGTCACTTGAAATGTGTTCAAAAGCCACATGTGGCTAATGGCTACAAAATCACACAATGTTCTGTGCTGATGGACAATATTGATCAAGATGAAAAGATAAGACAAGAACAAAAATAACTATAAAAGACTAGAGAAACTGACAGGTACCATGAATGAGGTATAGATAAAATATTTGAAGACAATTAATATCCTTTCCTTTCAAGGGCCCATGTATTTCCGGACAGTGAGATTAGGTCTTGGTAATTTTTATCCCCTTTTGTTCAAGAATGTCATATTTCCAAAAAGCTAGTGTGGGAACTAAAGCAGGGGAGAATGGAAAAATAGGAAATGTAGTTCTCTCCTCCTTTCACTGTCCCTCAAAGAGACAAGTTGCTATAAAAGCAGGTTGCTATCCAAAGATAGCTGCAATGAAGAAGTTATGCCTTTCTTAGCCACAGCCAGGTTAAAGGTGGAGAAAAAACAAGCAATCTTAACCTAGAGGACTTCCTAACCCACAATATCTCTTCTTACCCCACAATATCTTGAAACTTAGCCTTCATAGCCCACAAAATAAAGAACAGCTTTCAAGCCATACTAAAAAATTCAGTCAAAAACTTTGCACAGCCAGGAGCAATAAAGGCAACAAACTCTTATCTTAAAGTCATTTGATATATCCTTTCCTTACAATGCTTATGTTTATAAGAATATTAAAATAATATAGTTTCACATAGATGTAGCTTTCTAAGTAGCTAAATACATTTCTGAAAATGTCAAGATCATTGCAAAAATGGTCATAGTTACTCACACCATTCTGGTTATCAATAACTCTGGTATAATAAAATGCCATGAATAAAGAAGATACCTTCCCACGACATGCTTCTTTGTAAGAATCTTCTTCACCAGAGGTGAAGAAAAATGGAAACACATTTATAATCAATAGCTAGATGGAAATATCAAAATGAAAATCAGTTCATAATCAACTGAAATAAGTAAAATTTGCTAAGAAGCATAAAATACATATTTGGGCAACTTGGAACAAAGGCAGGAAAATGAGAGTTGGGCTCAGGGTGGAAGAGGAGGAATGGGAGGTCATCAACCAGCAGACATAAAAAGGGGGGAGAAATGGCAAAGATAAGCCTATTAGAGGCTCTGTGAATAAATCTGAGTGCTGAATGGGCTCCTGAACTTGAAGTTAATAACACTGGACTGTGTCTCTCCATTCTGGCAATTCCCAGGAAAAGGCTTCCAGAGCCACAGCCAAGCAAGAGCCCCCACTTTGTCTTGGCAGAAAGGAGGAGTATTCTGGTCTCATTTGGGCAGGGAAAAGGTTGGATATATTATGTTATTACTTCAGAGTACCCTCAGCTTCATCTCCAAATGAGTGAAAGAATGAGCAAATGAATCTCCCCACCAATTTGCAAATTTCCTCTAGCAAAGCTGGAAAATTAAAGGTCAATAACTAAAATGAAACTCATGAATTATTAAGTGAAAATTAGTCAATTTTTTATTCAATAAGTGTAAATAGCTAAAATCAAATTCTTTCCTGTTTTGACAGAAAAGAAATTAAAAGAATTGGAGCATTTGGAGTCCTACAAGTAGAGGAGGGGAATGAGGAGGAAGGTGGGTCATCTCCTTATGGGCAAGACAAAGAAATGGGAGCCCAAGGATCAGTGCAAATGTTCACCAGGGTCACTCACTACCCACAAATGCTGATCCTATAGATTTAAAGGGAAATAGAACCTGGGGCTAGAAGCCTCTTTGTCATTCATACTCAGCATGTCTATTTCACAAGATTCATGAAGTTTATGATGTATCATCATTTTATCTTTGGTTTTTCTTATCTTTTTTTTTTTTTTTTTTAAGACAGGGTCTCGTTCTGTCACTCAGCTAGAGTGCAGTGGTGTCATCATAGCTCACTGGGACCTCAAACTCCTGGGCGCAAGCCATCTTCCTGCCTCAGCCCCCTGAGTAGCTTGGACTACAGGCATGCGCCACCACACTCGGCTAATTTTTTTTTTTTTTTTTTTTTTTTTTTTTGTAGAGATGGGGTTTCACTGTGTTGCTCAGACTGGTCCTGAACTCCTGGCTCAAGCAATCCTCCCATATAAGTGTGAGCCACCGTGCCTAGCCTATCATTGTTTTTTTTCTAATAACTATGATATGACTCCATTCCCAGAAGAATCATTGTTTGAAGCACTGTTCTACCTTATTCTACATATTAGAAGCCTCATGTGAAAATTTTCAACTCCTCAGCAAAAAGATAAGCTGCATTCCAAGCATCACCCATTCACTCAACAAAATTTATAACTACCTCATCTGAGCAAGGCACTGTAAGTTAGTATATTAATCAAAGAGTGTTTGGAAAACAAAAAAAATCCCCCCCCCAAAATTTAACTGCTTTTAAAATAGGATGAAAAAAATCTTTAAGATCATTTTAAGACATGCCAGTCTTTTAATTTTTTTATCAGCAATGCTGATATTTTTTTGTCTATTTATCTACTTACTCACACGAAGCCTGTTGACCACCAGTCCCTCTACCACCTACT